TCTGAAGGTGTTGAGTCAAGGTGGAGGTATGGCTGATCTCATTCCAAGCTTTGAGCAGAAGCTTCCTGCTCATGTCACCAACCAGGTGTGCCTAAGGTTTTATTTTTTTAATCCTCCTTTAAAAATTATTTATGGAAGTGGTCAGCATTCTTCATATTTGTTCATCCTTTTTAAATTTATACATTCTATATAACATGCTATGGTACTTACTACCAATAGACTGCACTATCAAAGGATAGGTGTCTGGCTAGGAAGAGTTTTGGAAAGTTGAAGCTGTGAAGTTTCTTTTGATGGCTTGAGGTTACTTGTGAAAATTGATCAGCTTACCAAGAAAAGTCATATAACATTAGGGGAAAGTTGTTCCTCTGAAGGTGCACCTTGATGTATTTATGGAACCCATATCTACTTCCTCTGTTGTTAAGTTTCTTTTTAAGGTATAAGCTTGCCAATTACACTTTTTTTTTTTTTGGCTCCCAGTTATTTCACACATATCCATTTTCTTAGTGAATAACACTTTTCATGCTCAAGATATTGAATATTCTTTTAGCCCTCATCTCAATATCTCTTTGGTATAGAGACACATTTCCTTCTGTCTTGCTTCAGATAACAGGAACACCTCCTCATCAGCAAGTGCTGACGATCGACCATAACCTCATAAGTAATGGACTTCCCCAGTATCCACCCTTGCCAGCAACTCTGGATGCAGCTCGTATCGAAGAAATCCGCAGAACTGTTCTCTTCACGGACTTGAATCCCAATGTGTGTTTTGTTTTTTCTGTTTCCTGGTAATTCATTTCATAACTTAAAAGGTAGTCATATTGGGTTTCATCCAGGTGAAGCCAGACGAAATCATCGAACTTGCATCCCGTGCCGGAGAAGTGAAATATGTGCGTGTAGGTGCCCAGAGAGGATATCAAAGCAAAGTGGCATTGGTCGAATTCACAGAACAGCCCAGTGTGATCAAGGCACTACAGCTGAGTGGGACTGTCCTTGGAGATCATGCCATCAGGTTAGTTACAACTTATAGTCTTGAGGAGTTCTCGTCAGGTGAACCATATGGATTTTCTTTGATAATACTTTAAATAGACCGACTAAAAAATACTACTACAAGTCTTTCACTCGACAAAACGTATCCAACCTTTCTAAAAGTTTAGCAATTGCTGTTCACAAGAAATGACTAATCCTTTTCATCTATGGCTCATGGAGGTAACAAGTACCAGTAGTGCTACAGCTCTTTATGACTTAATTTGGGACTGATTCACAGTTAAGTGTTTTGACTCCATGAAGACATATGTACATTGGTAACTCCATGGTTCTGATATTTAGATTTGACATAACACTAATTTGTTGGCTATTTCTCGTTTATACAGGGTATTCCACTCCACACAACCAATCATCAAACCCCAAGCCATCTCATTACTCCGACGAGTCTCTCTCTAGCTTCTTCGATACTTCTTTCAAGCTCTTCGGGTCAGAGAGTAGAGACGGTCGGAACTGGGTCCACTTTTATGAATTAACGCACTGGAACCATTTTAATACTCTTTGGTTTGGGTCTTGCAAGCAATTTTCCATTGCATGTGCATGAAAAAATTGCATTATATTCTGTTGTGTGCCCCTCTGGGAATTTTTTGTCTTTGAAGCGAAGTATTAGAACAGAGATTGTTCTCTTACAAAGTTTTGGAAAGTATAGCCAGGAGCTGGCACAGGCTTTTGCACACTTCTCTGTTTTTCACATGCCATTGTATGTGTGTTTCATAAGGCACAGTTGGAACTTGGAGGAATGACTTCCTACCATGAGTGTGTCAAATAGTGTGCCAATAAAATTTATATATTTGGAGAATTGTAGTGTTTTGACAATTTCAGATTATTTTACCAAACAGAGCTTGAGGAGGTTTAGTGACAGAGAATATAAGTAGGCAAGTATTTGTTTGCATGTTTACAATTGTTGAAGGAAATTCATATTCTGTACTGTGGCTTTGAGTAGCTTGTAGGCAACTGTATCAGTGCAGGATTAAGATAGAATTCTAAAATTTCCAGAGGAAAGTGCACATGTTTATAGTCTGTTTTTCTGTATAAAATGCATGGAAGCCCTGCTTGTCATCTCAAAATTAATAACAATTCTGCTGCTATTCTTCGCATATCTTCGGATGAAAGCGATACTGTGCCTCCCTTTTGATTGCAGATAATTCAATTAGGTTGACATGTTCTTTTAGACTTCTCCTCTTTCACAGTCTTGGACCTCATTGAGGGTGGAAGCAAGAGGACGTCCCGAAGCCGCTCCAAATCCCATCGTACAAAATCCCGATCCCGATCGAAACACAAGTCTCGCTCCCGCTCCCGGTCTCGATCCCAAAGACGCTCTCGGTCGAAGCGGCACAGAACGAGATCGCGCTCTCGCAGCCGCCGTCGTTCTCGTTCTCGCAGGTTTGCATCCATTCTGCTTTGGAATAGAAACAGTCACCAAAGAATCCTTTTTAAAAAAAATTGTCTCCTTTATTGAGTTCCATTTGTTAGGTGCTACAGCATGAGACCTGCAATGAAATAGAGCCTAAAATTTCTGAAGATCTTGTTCGCAATTCCATCCCTATTTCTGACAACAATGTTTTTAGCCATGCCCTAATAGGCTGATAGTTTTAAGAAGATGCTTTGGTAAACTAAAGCATTTTTTTTCCAATCTTGCATTGAACCAGTTCATTGAAGTGCTGTAATAGACATGCAACATTAGTTTGTTTTTTTTATTCATAGAATGTAATGATATTGGTGACATTGCATATCTTCTTCATGTCTTTGGAAGTTAATATTAGTGCTGTTTGTCTTGTTGGTTTCTAGGCATTTGTATAATTTTCTCCCTTCAATTTTTCCTGAATTTTGCTTGAGATACAATCTTGTCAGGGATATTGCAAGAATTGAAGAACTTATGTGTAATCTGGAATGATCTCTTTTCCTTTTGAATTTTTTTTTGTAGATACGGCATTAATTTCCTCTGACTGACTTTATACATCTATTGGTCGAGGAAATTTTTAAATTTCATCATCTTTTTGATATTTGCCTGGTTTCAGCATCATCATTTCTGTACCCATTCGTTTTGAAGGTAAATTGATGATGCTGGGAATGTCTAATTTCTCTCCCTTTGGAAATTTAAATTAAAGTTTTGAGTTCATCAGTTTTGTTCTATATTGGTCAGGCATTCATAACTTGCTGGTTTCGTTAAGAAATCAGTCCTATTTGCCATTATTCAGGAAAATTGGACTAATTCTTATGGAAAACATCTNGGCTATTTCTCGTTTATACAGGGTATTCCACTCCACACAACCAATCATCAAACCCCAAGCCAAGAGTAATGAGGCTGCTCAGAGAGAGATCGAAGAAGCTATGAAGAAAGTTCGAGAAGCCCAGTCTCTCATCTCTGCCAGCCTTGACCCAGGTGAAAATACTTAATTGCGTGACCTTGGTAAAATTATTTCTTTGGTTTGGGTCTTGCAAGCAATTTTCCATTGCATGTGCATGAAAAAATTGCATTATATTCTGTTGTGTGCCCCTCTGGGAATTTTTTGTCTTTGAAGCAAAGTATTAGAACAGAGATTGTTCTCTTACAAAGTTTTGGAAAGTATAGCCAGGAGCTGGCACAGGCTTTTGCACACTTCTCTGTTTTTCACATCCCATTGTATGTGTGTTTCATAAGGCACAGTTGGAACTTGGAGAAATGACTTCCAACCATGAGTGTGTCAAATAGTGTGCCCATAAAATTTATATATTTGGAGAATTCAGGCATTGTAGTGTTTTGACAATTTCAGATTATTTCACCAAGCAGAGCTTGAGGAGGTTTAGTGACAGAGAATATAAGTAGGCAAGTATTTGTTTGCATGTTTACAATTGTTGAAGGAAATTCAGATTCTGTACTGTGGCTTTGAGTAGCTTGTAGGCAACTGTATCAGTGCAGGATTAAGATACAATTCTAAAATTTCCAGAGGAAAGTGCACATGTTTATAGTCTGTTTTTCTGTATAAAATGCATGGAAGCCCTGCTTTTCATCTCAAAATTAATAACATTTCTGCTGCTATTCTTCGCATATCTTCGGATGAAAGCGATACTGTGCCTCCCTTTTGATTGCAGATAATTCAATTAGGTTGACATGTTCTTTTAGACTTCTCCTCTTTCACAGTCTTGGACCTCATTGAGGGTGGAAGCAAGAGGACGTCCCGAAGCCGCTCCAAATCCCATCGTACAAAATCCCGATCCCGATCGAAACACAAGTCTCGCTCCCGCTCCCGGTCTCGATCCCAAAGACGCTCTCGGTCGAAGCGGCACAGAACGAGATCGCGCTCTCGCAGCCGCCGTCGTTCTCGTTCTCGCAGGTTTGCATCGACTCTGCTTTGGAATAGAAACAGTCACCACAGAATCCTTTTAAAAAAAAAATGTCTCCTTTATTGAGTTCCATTTGTTAGGTGCTACAGCATGAGACCTGCAATGAAATAGAGCCTAAAATTTCTGAAGATCTTGTTCTCAATTCCATCCCTATTTCTGACAACAATGTTTTTAGCCATGCCCTAATAGGCTGATAGTTTTAAGAAGATGCTTTGGTAAACTAAAGCATTTTTTTTCCAATCTTGCATTGAACCAGTTCATTGAAGTGCTGTAATAGACATGCAACATTAGTTTGTTTTTTTTTATTCATAGAATGTAATGATATTGGTGACATTGCATATCTTCTTCATGTCTTTGGAAGTTAATATTAGTGCTGTTTGTCTTGTTGGTTTCTAGGCATTTGTATAATTTTCTCCCTTCAATTTTTCCTGAATTTTGCTTGAGATACAATCTTGTCAGGGATATTGCAAGAATTGAAGAACTTAAGTGTAATCTGGAATGATCTCTTTTCCTTTTGAATTTTTTTTTGTAGATATGGCATTAATTTCCTCTGACTGACTTTATACATCTATTGGTCAAGGAAATGTTTAAATTTCATCATCTTTTTGATATTTGCCTGGTTTCAGCATCATCATTTCTATACCCATTCGTTTTGAAGGTAAATTGATGATGCTGGGAATGTCTAATTTCTCTCCCTTTGGAAATTTAAATTAAAGTTTTGAGTTCATCAGTTTTGTTCTATATTGGTCAGGCATTCATAACTTGCTGGTTTCGTTAAGAAATCAGTCCTATTTGCCATTATTCAGGAAAATTGGACTAATTCTTATGGAAAACATCTTTGATACTGTAAGGGTTTTTTCATTTCTGATAAATTTCTGAACATTGATGAAAAAAAAATTGCAGGAGTCGAAGTCGGAGCAGGAGCAGGAAGAAGAGAGGCAAGAGGTCGAGATCCCGTAGTCGAAGGAGATCCAGGAGCAGAAAGAAGTCCAAGAGCCGATCCCGCTCCCGGTCCTCTTCTCGGCGGAAGAGTGGCCGGAAGGACAAGAAGAAGGACAAGGATCGAGACAGGGATAAAACCAAGGAAAAGGACAAGGACAAGGACAAGAGCAAAGACAGGAGTAAAGACAAAGACAAGGATAAGGATAAGGATAAGGAAAAAGATAAAGAGAAAGAGAAAGACAAAGACAGGGACAAAGAGAAGGAGAGGGATAAGGAAAAAGATAAAGACAAGGAGAAGGACAAGGACAAGGATAAGGAGAAAAGTAGAGACAAAGAGAGGAGGCGGAGCAAGGAGAGGAGCCGAGATAAGGGCAAGGACAAGGACAAGGACAGGAGCAGAGACAAGGATAAGGACAGGGAGAAGAAGGATGAGGGGAAAGTGGATTCAAAGCAAGAATCGAAAGGTGAAGACACGTCAAAGCAATCCTCATCTGAAGCAGCAGACTCCGCTCGTGATCGGCCGGTATGTGAAAGACTGAAATCCAGGGCATTTTCAGATGTCATGATGTGAATTCATATGGCTCTAGATTAATGTCATTTGTGGATAGGGTGATTCATGGCAACTCACTCTCCATCAAGAATTTACCACAAACCTAATTCACTCCAGCTATTGAGAGACTGGTTTAGTGCTTATTATTTTATATTAGCCCTTATTTATAACCCCTCAGATATTTTCATGGAAAAATGTAATGGGTCATGTTTCTGTCAAGGCTCAATTCTGGCAGTTTTAATTTCAATGCTCTTGGAATGCTGGAAATTTAATTCCATTAGTAGCATAAATCCATGTTTCCACTTCTATGGTGGCCATTGTGTCTCAAATTTGATCTTCATTTGCATGCGGCATTCTATGTTTGCATTTGTAATTGTTGGTCTTGTAACTGCTCAGAAAGTTATTGAAAGATGGAGGATCCTTCAGTGGTCCGGATCATGTAGAAAATGCTAGTTAACGTTATTATTGGGTATGTTTTCCAATTATCTAAATGCCTGAAAAGCTTTCTTCTCATTTTTATTGACTCCCTTTTTAGATTTTTAATATGAAATTCAGAAATATTTTAAAAGTAAGTGATTTTTGCTTATGTATAATATATTGCAATTGCTAGGGTCATGTTTCATTTGATTTGGGGTGACCACTCTTGGAAGTACTATTGTTAGCATTCCATGAATTGAGTCATAGGCCAAACAGTAGCTTTGGTAGTGTCTGAGAGGCTTCATCCATTTTTCTGCAAAATAATTCCAAAGGAGAAGCTATATGATACAGGACCACTGTGTTTGAGATGACTTTGGTCCTGATGACTATTTGTCTTCATGTTTCTATATAATGCATGTGATCATGTGAAGTGGAGTGTACAAGCCATTTCTGTCTATTTGAATGTGGTTTCTGGATCCTTATTTGCTAAATCTTTTCTGGATATTGGTGTTTGTGCATTCTTCCATGTCCTGGTGGCATTACAGGAGGCCAAAATGGAGGCAGGTGAAGAAGAGAAAAAGAAGGAAACAGAAACTTCCAAGAAGGAAAGGAGGGAGGAGAAGAAGGAACGTGAGAGGGATAAAGACAGGGGTCGAGATAAGGAGAAGGAAAGGGGGAAGGACAGGGAGAAAGATAAGGAGAAGAGCAGTCGTCGCCGAAGCCGTGATCGGGAAGTGAAGCGGAGACGTTCCCGGTCGGGTTCACCCGTCCGACGCTCCTCGCGGCGCGGTCGCCGTGCGTCCCCGTTGCCGAAGAGGCCCAGTCGCAGATCCAGGTAAAGTGAGCAGCCCTGAGGATCTATCAGGGTGTGATTTGGTAAAAAATTAGACTTTTGACACGTTTCTCTTACACAGATCTCCGAAGACAAGTAAGAGTCCACTGCGGTCCAGGTCTCCCCATCGGAGGCGACGATCTAGGTCAGTTGAAAGGTGAGCATCGATGCTGAACATCTGTGCTTTGCCCATCTCTCAGTCTTTCCTTCTAAGTAAAGTCCTCACTTCCACTCAGAAACCCTCAAGGCATGGCTTTGGCATTGTCTTTCCTTTACTTTCGTATCTGGAGTTACATCTTAAGATCCTCTTCCATGGATTCACAGGGCTCCTGATCAGATCAAAAGACAGCAAACAAGCACTGTTTGCTTGATTGCTGTTAATTGTGAAAAAAAATCTCATACTGAAAATCATTGTTGCATGCCAGCAAGATCTTATCAGAAAACTTTTTTGTGCTTGATAAGGGAAATAAAAAAAAAAAAGATGAGACTTGTGTGTTTGCAACAGGAGAGAAAGGCGTCGTGGCAGAGAGCAAAATGTGAACCCAGAGCGTTCCAGTCGCCAACGCAGGTCCACCCGTCTGGAAGAGACCGCACCTTCCAAGTCCCGGAGCAAACCGGCGAGGGACTACGATGAAGAAGAGAAAGGCTACGAAGAGTCAGAGAAGAGCTTCCGTGTGGAGGATGAAGAAGAAGAGAGGGAAGTTGAGAGTCATGGAAGTGATGCAGAAGATGATGGAAGAAGTGGAAGTGATCCTGGAAGGGATGAAGATGAAGATGCGGAGGACAATGACAACGAGAACGATGATGAAGAGGACGACAATGAAGATGAAGATTCCAAAGGAGGAGAAAGCAGCAATGCTGAGAGTGGGGAAGACATGGACATCTCAGATTAGTTTTAGTGACCTGTCCTCCTGTATTTGTTTCATTCTTGCTTGCTGTCTGTGTGAATGGCAATAAAATAAAAAGTATTCCCATCCCCTTTCTTTTATGTTTTAATTTGGCCCATGAGTGTCTTATGGCTCTAATGCTCAGAGGTAGTTTGTGGCATAAAAACTAGGAATCAAATGGATTACAGTTTTCTCAAATCAGGTTGAAAAAGTAGTATCAGCTATAGGCTGTGCATGTAGCATATGGCAACAGTCTAGAAACAGTTTCAAAAATGATACCATTACTAATGTGGAGATATTTTGCTCTTGCTCTGTGCTCTCAAGTGTGATAGGCTAGGGGATGCTGGAATGGCAACAGTTCTCTAAGTAGTCTATAGAGAACTATTGTACCTTTACCATATGAAGCTAAGAAAGGAACTTGCAGATGTGAGGAATTTTGCCCTATTTGCAACTGACTATGAAACAACCACCTTGTGATGGATTGGAATTATGTGCTCTTCCACATAGAACTTTGTTCCCCAAATTGAAAATGGCAATATTTGTCCTGACTGTAATTTTATGAATTGGGCAATAGCCACAAAGGATACTCAGGTAGGAAAATCTCACCATCATTCCCTTGAGACTGGTGATCTACATCATGCTTGCTGTTTCCCATTGTTTAGAAAGATGATAAGAAAAAGTATTAGTTGGCTATTCATTGTATAGCAGACCAAAAGAGTTGACTCGTATGAAAAGATTCGTTCTTGTAGATAGAACAACATAACTGGCTTGGAAAATGTATCATTATTCCCTCTGAGATCAAGCTGCATAGAAAAAGATCTGACCTCGTAGAATTGACTGTAATTTACTTCATGTCTCACACATGGTGTGAAAGGGACATAACTTTTTTGCTTGCATCTTGAGGGGGTATTTTCATTTCCAGCTGCATAATGGCTCTGGACTCATTGAACCCCAGCACTTGTGGAGGAATCATGCAATCTCCCCTGTGGAAATCACGTCGACCTGATATATCTTATCCCTTTCAGATTATAAGTCTTTCATTTTTCTGTCCAACTTTGTACAGCATCTACCCTCACAGTTTCTTTTCCCTGATCATCAAATTGCCTATATTTCTGCCAAGAAGACAGAAGAGCATTTTCTTGACGTTCCAACTCACTTCTTGTTTACAAATAATATCTAATTGACAGGCAGGGCCAAAGGTACTTTTTGAAACAAATTATACTTTTTTTTTCCTTATTTCCATATTCTATCCTTCCTCAGTTAGATTAGGGCACTCTGGCATGAAAAGCATACAGCACAGTTCAGTGAAAATTGGGGGAAAGTTAAACTGAAAAAAGTGTCTCCTAGGGACACTGTCTCATTTGCATACCCAGTGACAAACTACAATGAACATAACTGTTGTCACGAAGTGCTGATGATCAATTCTCAGAAAATCTATAAAGATGCTGAACTACAAGCAGGAAATAGCTCTTTTGGAACGTTATTCCTCACATGGTTTCAACACAGAGGAGACAAAACAAGCAAAGTGCTTCGCAGCAGCCACATCCTTTCCTATCCATAACTCCATTTACCATGGATATAAATGACATCGCATCTGCAGTGCAACTTTCAAGCATGAGTTGTAATGCTTCCCCCAACGTTATGAAACCATTATGCTATATTATGTTTCATTGAGTTGCCCTGCATAGCTTTCATGCACCCTTAAGTGACATTATAGTCACCCTGTATATTTCTGCTGCATCTCAAATCAATGCAGTGTAATATTAATTTGTGGTTCTTTGGCACCTTTTGGCATTTTGGCAATGAACAATTGAATCTTGGGCACAATAGGGTGACTGAAATCAAAGTTTCTCAGAAGACTTTTTAGAAATTTTTTGTTCAAAGGTTTAATGGCACTTCATAAAATCTTACTGTTTCTGCCAATAACTTATTCTTATAAACTTCAATTTAAAAAGCAATGCATGTTCCTGGATTATCACTTGCTCTTTAAATTTTTCAATCCACTCAGTGGCATTCATAATTAAGAAAAACTGCTGCAGCTTTTAGTTCACATGAACTGCTTGCTGCAATGATGGTAATTCTGAATCTACCTTTGAGGAGATTCTAACATGTTTTTACTATTGAAAATGAACCTATCATTGTGAAATGAAACACACTGGATTGAAAATGAAGAAATGAACAATATCACAGAACAAGCACAATATATTCACGTCTCCTACATCAGAGAAAGTATTCACACCTACATTTAAATATCACACTAGATGAACTGCATCTACGGATGGTAGAGGGATCTGGGTGTTGGGACCTTCTTCCCTTTCTTCATCAGAGCCTTATCTTTCTTCTCTCTGCCAAGGAAACACAATAAAAGCAGAATGAAAAATAAGCACAGCTGAAAACTTCAACAAAGGTTGACAGACACAGAAAAATCACCATAAACTTGATGCATTTATTGTATAAATGACAGACAACTCCAGTGTAATTCAACTTTGGAAGGCTTCCTTGAAGTCCCATGAATGATAATCGTTAAAATGAAACGGGTCTACACAGAATTAGCAACTTGGTACTGGTGCTTAACCCTTCAAGCTGTTTTCACGCATGCCGTACGCACATCACTTATGAGGTTGAGTTGAAACTCAGTGCTTGTAGGGTTAAAGATAGACCACATGAGAGATAATGTACATGGTCCCCACTAGAGCACACAGTGGAAATGTCACTTTCCATATAATCAATGGTTTTTCAACAGAATGCTTACAGGCCTTCTATACTGCAGCACATAAGGTGGCTCTATTTTCAGAGTCATCTGGGACCTCAAGTGATGCTTATCAAAAGATCAATCTGTACACATAACTACTCTGCTTCTGAGAACATTCCCATTTCCTCAACAAATCAGTTCTAACAGAAATCGATCACAAGATGAGAGCAGAAAACATACGCTGACTTTCCAGCCTCTATCCTCTTCACGATGCTTCCTCCGAGAAGAACGGGAGGAGAGGATTCCCGTCGTCCATCGCGAGAGTAGTAATAGTTGGTTGCCAACTTGTGCGATGGTCCTTCGGGGAGATTCGGAGGAGGCACAGTCCTCCTGGGGGCACCGGCCATGCCCTCAAAACGCATGTTGCTCTGGAAGGTCCGCTGCATGAAGAAACGTGCCTTAATGTACTGCAGGTATAATTACCCAGGCATTCATACAAAAGACAAAAGGTAAAGGAGATCAGGGCTTACAATGTGAGCCACAAAAGAGTACAAAAATATATCAAATCGATCATACTCCAGATTTTGTGCTGTCTCAGACTAGTACTTTTCAAGATGATGAATTGAAAGTCATTCTTATATGACAATAGTCATGACTCAAAATCCTATTATAAACCATAATATCTAAGTTTCATAATACAATCCATGGAATTTAGTCACTGAAAATCCTGTAGGGTCATAATTCCATGCGAAGGATTGTCATCATGTCACAATTGGAACACTATTACTTTCATTTCCACTGTTTGGGATTGCAATCTTCCTAGGAGTCTGGACATTTTCCCACGTGGGAAACTCTGAATACTAAACGTCAACAAAGGGGACTTAAATCTCTAAATATTAACTGGAGCCTGGGTCTAGGCTGTCTGCGTTGGATGTCGACAGACGATGCCATTGAAACTAGGCCTAATGTTGAAATCAGATCCTACTAGAGGAAACTCACTCCGAGCAGAAAGTTTCGGAAAGCCTGAAGAAGAGGGGTCAAGTTTCGCGTTTCAGCCATGACAAAGCAGGCCTCAGCCCAAGTCTTACAACAGAAAGGCTGGCATCAAAACCGAGGAGAATGCAATAACAACAGCTAGTCTCTCCACGCTCCTCAGGCGGCTGCCATACCAGGGATGCCAACCATCCACACGACTGACCGAATTGACACCAGAGAAGTCAGCCTCCGATTCGACGTACAAATTTGACACCATGGAAGTCAGCCACCAATTCGACGAAGTATATCGAAACCAGGGATGCCGAAGCTATTTTCAGATCGCATGCTGTTTTTTCCCTCTCGCGTTACGCCTAAGCTAAAGCGGATGGGTAAGTATATTCTGCAAAATCTCGGAAATAAATGCTGATTGCTGGAAATTAACAGAGGGGCCAGTCCCTTTGTTGTAACTCGGTTAATTGAGAGTTTCGTTAACGAGCATTCAATGTTTAAGCCTTGACAGGCTTAAACCTTGATTAAGGTCAGATTTTTTTTTCTGCAGGATTTGCTGTTCCAAAAATGATTCGAAACTGTGAAAACTAATACAACGAGTGCTACAGTTGTCAGTATCTATTTATTCTTGGGTTGCCACCTTTGAATATGACGAAATATGGATGCATGAGAAATACGGACAAATAAGTGCACTTGCGTATGCGACTATGCCTCAAATACCCACATCCTTGCGGAAAAGAGCAATTTTAGCTGCTATAATTTTATTAATTCAAAAATTCTTTAAAAATTTAAATTCTGGTCAAAACAATGTTCATATTAAGACCAGTTTGCAACATAGACATTGCATCTGAAATGTGTACTGTCCATGCTAATTATGAACAGTTGGCCTCATTTAATCGAACACGGAGAGACGAGAGTTCCATTTAAGGCTGCTCATTGGCGAATGAAATTCTCAGCGGGAAATTCGAAGAACGAGCCGGATCGGCACGAGGAGCCGAACGCATCGCGCATCCCTGTCTCCCGCCCCTCGCCGTCCAGTCGAGGCAGCGACGCCTCGCTCGCGGGCCGTCGCCTCCCGGGCGGCCGTCGTTTCGAAAGAAAGACAGAAGAAAATGTGCGTCTCCGGCGCTTCCTGGATGAAACATGCACGACACATGAGGTCGCCCTCTCGACATCGGTGAGCGAACGACCTAGTCCTAAGTCCATCACTTTTTTTTTTCACTTGGGATGTACATGCACATCTGCCTGAGTCAAGTGAAAAAACTGTCACACTCCCGTGATGAAAATGATCGATTTGCAATTTAATTCATAGGCCTCCTACTTATAAGCTCGTGCGCGTTTGTGAGCGCAAAGTGAGGGGATATCGCCGTTGAAAAGCGGCGTTTAGTTGAAATGGAGCCCATGCTAAAGGTGACACGATTTTAACTTATTTAACACGATTTAACAATAATTTCTGTATAGCCCGTGAGAGAGTAACCGCACCGTTGAACTGTCTGGTCCGGTCGCGAGCCTGTAACCGGACGGTTACCTGATCGGTCACCGGAGACTGTTGTCTGTCGGCGTTGGGTGTCGGCCGGAAAAGTTTCAAACTCGACTGGAAAGAGAAAAACCTGCCAATTGAGGCGACGGTAAAACCCGGCCTGAAAGACAGAATCCTTCAGTTAGGCCTCGTAGCAACAAAGTTGCAATCCGGATAAATTCGATGTAAATCGTTTGCCTATAACTGCCCTGGGACATCCCTCCAGTCCCCACCAGTGTTGCAATCACCCCCGATCCCATTTTTCTTTCAATCAGGCGAGAAGCGAGATATTCACGTATCAAGCATGTAAGGAAGAATACCACGCTTTTAATATTTTTATTTCAACTCCTGCCCGAACGGCAACCCAACGGTGAAGCCCCCAAGCCACCTCAACCGATCCTAACCACCTCGACCGATCTCAGCCACCTCAACCGACTTGCCGCCCAGGCCATCAGGCGAGGCCATCCGATTTCTCGCAACGGTAGCCACCCTCGTTCGAAGTTCGTACAAGGCTCTCTCGGCCGCATTCCGCTGTTTTCGTCGCGTTCTCATTCGTTCTCATGCGTTCTCATTCGTTCTCATGCGTTCTCAGTCGAGTCGAACTTTTTCCAATATGCCATGAGGAGGGATGGGGTTAGGCAGAGATTCGCGATACTAAAGCAGATGGCTGCGATCCAAAACCGCGAAAAAAAGTGACATCTGATGAGACGGGGGCCAGAACCGCAGAAGCGCACGCACCAAAACCGCGATGGTAGGGTTGCTGGATGTACCAGGGTTGCCGGATGTAGCATCGAGGGCAACGACCCCCTCCGCTTTCACCTTGCACTGGGCGCCTCGGGGCGAGAGTGTCGCCGAGTTCGAGCCGAGAATCTTCTCGACGAATTGAAAATCACGAGTAGCTTTCAATGTGAAATTCAGAACCGCGCGATATCGGAAGCGGCGACTTTGAGAATGCGAACGAAGGGCAACTGAGGGTCTCACGTGCCGACCAAATAAAATGATGGGCGTTCAAAATTTTATAAAAGGTTTACTCTATATAGAACTGTGAAGTATTTTAAGGGAATCGTGTTGATTGATTGGCGACTTCTCTCAGATCGATGGGGAGACTCTTCAACGGATCAGTCTCGTTTCGTAACTTGATGTACTTCGCGTCATTGGGCACAAATATGTCTTCGGGTCCGGTTGTCATGAAGTGAGTGTAATTCTTCGAGGCCATCAGCGCCAGAATTTCCTCTCTGTTCCCTTTGTCCGTCTCCACCATGAGCACCTGTAGGGGGGGTTTCGAAGCCTCTTTCATCACGTCAATGAAATATGATAAAGTGTGAAAAATCATGTTATAGGTTTTGACTCTTCCTAGGCGTCATTCATAGTGGGAGGGAATGGTTGAAGTTCAGTGCTATTCAAAATTCTTAGGAAATAAAGAATAGTTTTGAGAATAACTTGAATGGTGTATGAATAGGGTCACAGGGACAGGAAGGGGCCGAGTGCTGAAGGTATCACGGCGTTAAAGTTTCACTCGATAAAGGCAGATGTTCCTCGTAACGCTCTCGCCCAGACCTTGAACCTTGAAGATACAGGGCGGGGCGCATGACTGAGTTAGTCTCTGTATTGACGACGTCAAAGTGATTTATTTCTTTCGTGAAGGAGAATGTTCTGGTCAAGGTGGAAGCCTTGAAAATGGTTTTCCATCCTACCACAGTAGAAATGCACAGCATGATCCATATTCCTTGGTCCGAAAAATATTTTAGCTCACAATAATTGGCATTTATCCTTTTATCCAGCATTATTTTATTATATGATACTTTCAAGTTCACGTTTGGGTCTTGAATGATTGTTATTGCATGGAAACGAGGAGGAAAGGGTGGAAAGTGCAAGGAAAGGGTAATTTGATTGGTTCAGCCTTTTGCTCGTATTCCCCACGAATCGCTTTCGCAGAGCAGTGGAATTCCTGCTAAAATTCCTCAACGAAAGTAATGCAACAAGTCCAGAAAAAAATGTAATCGAAATTGTCCTCAAAGAATTTTGACGTCGTGGATCACGGAACCGAACAAATTTGTGCGAATTGATCGAAGTAACAGCATGAGTTCTTTGGGAGATAGGGTCTTCCAGAATTGCCCTGTATGATCACGGTGTGAAGACGACACAGATGGAAGAACAAACATGAACGATTCCCCAGAAAAATCTCAGAGATCGGGCGTTTTACCTGCGCACGCCGGATTCACCGTCATGAACTGTGTGCAGGGAGGAGAAAGCAATGCCTGCTCGACAAGCCTTCAAAGGATCCCATGTTAAACGGCAAGACGCACAGAAACGTGAACTGATTGCTACGCGGAGTGCCACACCATGTCACTTTCTTTGTCTGTGCTTCGCTTCAGTGCTAAATGCCATTTAACATGGGATCCCCTCCATAAGGGATATTTTTCACACATCGTTTTCTACTCCTGCACATTGTGGCGGTGATTATGGTGCGTGCATACAAAACTAATACACCCAATTTTTATTCTGACGTATCATTCCTGTTAGTTCTTCCACCTGAGTTGTCACCAGACTACGATCGTCTCGAGCATGAACTCACGCAATGGCAATGAATCGTAAGTGTCTGAGATTTCTTTCTGAGAATTAAAGATTGAAGCTTTTAACGGATGTTCGAAGCCACATGGCACGTCTTTCTGCTGAATTCCAGTCGCAACTACTCACCTCGAATCGAAATATGTGGAAAGGAATGGTGGCGAGAACTCCGTAATCCATGCCCTCCACATCCAGGCTGAAAAAATCCACGGTTTTCACGTCCAGTGCGATCAAGAAGGTCTCCAACGGGTAGCAGATCAAATCCTCGCCCGTCACATTAGTCGCGTTTCGCCTCAAGTCGGTCCACATCGTTCGATCTTCCACGATCACCTAGCATTACCGATCGGCATGAGCATGATTGCCACGACGGCTCTGGGAGATTCGAGAAAGGACAGACCTTCTTTGGATGCGGTGCGTCGCTGAGGCACGAATGAGCGATCCACGCCTTCCTCTGCAGGCTCTCGAGCGAATTGTAGGCCGATTTCGTCGGTTCTATCAGCAGTCCGGTCCAATTCCTTTCGAGTTCCAGCCAGAGAGTATTCGAATAGACGAATCCGTTGAATGCCCCTGCTTCGATGAAAAATCCCCTGGTCTGTGCGAACGGGAGCAGTTAAGCCCAAATCACACCGTGAATCCTCAACAATAGGCACATCAAGCCATTCGCAAAAATTTGCCGGTTTCTCGAGAACTCTCCATGAATGGTTGAATCAAATCGGATGCCAGAACCCAATTGTAGAAACAACCAAAGAATAATCGTTTTGGGTCTCGAAAGATAGAAACAAGACTGCAAAGATTCACAGGTTGAAATTTTCGGGAAAAAATTATTAAACATTTTAGAATATAATAAAAGAAATAATGAATAATGAAATAGCACGTTACAACTCTAAAAATGCCAAAAAAAATTGCTTCCGCGTATGAATTCATTATTTGGAACGTTTAAGTCATAAAGAATTATCATGAACTAGCCGACGTATTTTTTCGATCCGCATATCGTGTACTTACTATGTTAGAAAACAAATCCTGGAGCAGCCGCGACTCCTCTTTAGACTGTGTGAAATGCTCCCCCTTGGGTCCGCTGTCGAAGGGGTAGGGGTGGCCGTCGGAGTTGGAGTGGTGGAGGACGCTCTGCCGCAGGTGGGTCACCAGTCGGGTGTCGTTTCCTGCGATTTTCTCCCCGTGGCTCAACGCTGGCGGCAGAGTCTTCTCGTTCCAGTCTCCCGCCGATGGCAGATTCTTCACGTCCCCGTCTCCCGCTGTTGGAGCGTTTTCCGGCCCTTTATTATATAGAAAAAAATTATGGTTATGTTCGATTAACTTTCCTTCGATTGAGCGCGAAAATCATTGCGAATGAGACTCAACATAGGGCAAAAAATGAGTAACGAGGCGACTTGAAAAACAGGGTCCAGAGTGAGCCATGATGCGTAACGAAGAGGGTTCAATCAAGGTTTTCTCAATTATCATGAGGAAAGAAATATTTCCTCTCTAATGAAAACGTTATTATTTTATAAATTTCCCTGATGCTGAGATGAGGGATACCCCGAAAGTAATGCCACATGCGTCCCACAAATTATTAGTGTTTCACCAAGCATCAGCTGTTAAAATGAATGTAAGAATCGGAAGTTCCCCTCTCAACTCGAATCCCCAAGTTTCACCTTAATTACCTTCATAGCCCACCGGAATGTCGTCTCTTCCAGTTAAATTTGAGAACGGCCTCGCTACTCACCCGCAAAAGAAACTCTTGCTGGCCTCGCCGTCACCTCGAAGCTAGACAAACCTCCGCTTGGGGCTCGTCGCACCTCATCGAAGGAGAGCAGGGTGATGGTCAGTGCCAGTCCGACCAGGACGAAGACGAGAGCGTTCCTCCTCATGGCGAGCCTGTCGATGAGAACTTTCGTCTCATTATGAAAGGTTGCGTCGTCGTGAGGTGGATTAGAGTCACATGACTGGGTCGGGGGGGGGGGGGGTGGAGTTGGTTAGAAAACCGATTCACCGATAGATTAGTATCACATCACCGAGACGAATCGCCGGCTTTACACAGGAGGGCTCGTTTTGCAGAAAATCGTTGCCCAGGCAGGGCATTTCGACACTGGCCGAGCTGCAGGTCCCCATGCGCATCTGACGGCTTCGAGACATCACGCTCGGTTGAGTGCAGATGGAGCTGGGCCCGGCGTGTGGCGTTCTGCCATCGTTAATGGGACTTGTGGTATCTACGCTTCATCGTGATCCATAACCATGTATTCTATGCGAACGAGAGAGAAAATAATGTTGGCGTTTTATTAATTGGAAGCGATCCGTGATCATATCCTGGATAGAATGGATTTCGAAAAACGACCATCTGAACGGCTCATTAGGAAAATTAGAAGCTGGGTTTTTTGCCGTTGAATTTCCGAAGAGCGACATCATTGCATTGTCAGCTTTTCTAATGTGAATACATGGTTGAGGCACCTATCATGACATTTTCCTCTTAAATGCGATTCTTTTTTTGTTGATCGATTGATGTTGGTTTGGGAGCGAGAAGTGCAATACTCCAGTCTGCCACTCTCTGCCTAGTGCGATGTCTAGAAGCCGTCAGTATGAGAATTCGTAATGCGAATCTTGCATTCTCTAAAACGGTGCCCAAGTAAAATATCAGCATTTACCCGCGAAGCGGTCCTTCTACAAAGGGATTTTCTGCTAAACGCCCCCCAACCCTAATTTTTCTTCGCCACGGGACAACGGGCGCGTCATTCGCAAGTCCTCGACCTCAACCCAAGTCGCCATTTCGAGTAACGATAGCACAATCACAAAACACTTTTACATGAAAAGTTATTTTTTTTTTCGCCGTTTTATTACAGAGAAAATGAAGTATTTAAGCAAGGCATTGAAATAAGACTTCCAGTCTAATTCTGGGAATATCAGGCTACTTTTTTTTTTTTTTACAGTGCACTGTCATGAGCAGGCTTCAGGTCTATCCTCTGTCTATCTGGTCTTTTCATTCTCTTGATAGACGTTGTCGTTACGGAAAAATTAGATTCCGCGAAATCGATTCGCTCGCCCAACACAATTCGCTCACCTGCAGCAGTCGAAGACGTGAGAGCAGGCGAGAATCATACGTAGCTCTCGAGTTCCACGACTAAAGAGCTTCGCGCAAACGAGTTGCTCGTATTCCTGCGAATTCATTCGGGGTTGCTCGCACGTCGGGGCGATTATTTCTCCTCCGTCGCGCCTTTCACGTGGAACTGACAGATTACAAAAAGAAATTCGCATAGAGGGAGAGATGTCTCACACAGGGTGCCAGAGTATCCTCATTGTCTGCAGCCGATCTCATTTGTATTTGTCGCCAAAGAGAAGAGTTGCGAAACCGTATTCGAGACGATCCAGGGGCAAAATGTAAATGTAAATACGTATATATAAATGTAAATAATAAGTGGAAATGAACGCGCCCCCGCGCGGGCTTTACTAGTGGAATAAAAAATTACGTATAAGCCATGATCTTTTGACACATTATTTTGGTTAAAATCTGGGTTAATCAGGGGTTGTACGGTTAATGTACGGTTTAATGAAGCGCCCTTTCCAAAAATGGGATTTCCGAAAAATGCCTTCAAGAACAATTCTTGTCCTGCTTTCTGTGCCGGGAAATTGTTTCGTCCTTTTTAAAAATTATTTTTCAACTTGCGAAGTCATTGCCAAGTCATCGTGTGAACAGCTCGGAATCACGTTATCTTATCGCAAAATCTATGGGGGAAAAAGCAAGAAACACGACGCCTGACATCGTTTTGCAATATAAAGTGCCTTCTTATTTGCAAAAACTGTCCCGACTTAAACGGCGGGAGATGGCCGTTGCATAAATTTGTTTCGTGATGTCACGGAAAATTCGTGAAGCGAAATAAAATGCAAATGAACACCTGCTGCAAAAGAGCTTTTTGCACTAATTTATTGCACGTTGTAGTCGATAGCTTCGTTTTTCTGGGCAACCACATAATTTGCTTCCTTCTTTCCGCGAAACTTTCCAGATCTTTCTGTGGGAAAAATTCTGTAATTTCTCCGAGCAAGAACTCTCCGTGAAATTCGTGATGCCAAAAACTCCTGTGCAAAGTCTTTGACAAAGTTTTGATCAAATTTCCGATTTTCTTTGCACAATTTTCTCGCTTTGTTCTAATCTTTCGTGCCTTTCTGTGTCTTTCTGGGCTTTTCTAATCTTTCTATGTCTTTAGGCATTAGAAACTGCTCAGAAAACTATTTTTTGGATTCTGTTAACCCGCAGAAATTACACTTGCCATTTTGTCAATGGTCAGTTTTTGACAATGAAAGCTCATGGAGCAAAGTTTTGTCTTTAATTAAAATAGTGAAGGTACGTGCATTCCTATTCAGCCAGCGCAAATTAAAGGAAAATTGCGGGAAATAAGTGGGAAACGCACCTGCACATCAGACACGAAGGGACGAGCGTCGGTGCGTGTCGGCTTGACTTCGCGATTCGGACGCGTGCTCGAGGTAAGGTCGGAGGCACGATCCCCGATTCTCACTGAAATCCTTTGTGGAAACGTGGGAAGAAAAGAGCTTGAAGACCGCTGGTTTTGCCGATTTACTCCGTCTCGCCGCTGATTTTACCGGGTGCTTAAAAAGAATCCTTTCGGTGTTTTTATTTTGCGAGGATCGCCCAGTCAAAACTTTTCGTTGGTTTATCGTTGTGCCACAGCTGGGGAAGTTGGCTCATGAGGATGAGCCAATGTGGCTGAGAAGGTTCCGAAAACCGGCTTGAGATGGAGCCAAAGTAGTCGCAGCAGGGAGTCACTTCTCGGACTCTACTGAAGCGAGTCCCTTTGCCACAATTCCCTATGGTTTCCCACATTGATTTCAGAGGGAGGCAATTGAATTCCTTGAAACATTTCTCGAAAGATGTAACCTAGCCCTGGAATAAACGAGGAAATTCCTGCTTGGAGGTCCGTGGGAGGATCCTCCTACTTTCCACCATAGGCAACAGGACCTAAAGTCTTCCTGGTGGAACCTTCTTTATCATTCTGATAAAAGAGGTTAAGGGACTTCTGCATGAGAAGTGTCAAGAAGCGTTAGGATTGTACTCACTCCAGAGTAGTTTGGCGAGGGGGGACCTCATCCAGGCATTTAACAGGTTGACCGCCATGGGGCACACCGGTGTTTCTCCTTCTCCAAGGGAAGTAAACCTTTATTTTGGCCCAGGAAAGTCACCAGGCCAATATGGCCGTGGCAGTCAGCTTGTTAAGATCGTTAAAGGAATCGATAACGTACAGCATGGTAGGTTTTTCTACTTCGATGCTAGCAGCCGAACGAGAGGGAACCAACTTAAGTTGCGATAGTGAGACGCGTGGACTTCGTTAAGCGACGATGTGGTGGCTGCCACGCCCCGTGACTAGCTCTAGGTATAGGCTTGATGGCTTCATGGACAAAACAAAAAAGGAAGCATCGTAGCTTAACCGACTGTACTCCCACAAAAAATCCATCTTGATAAGGGATAAGCATATCTTACGATTAGCAGAACACTTGACCTCGATGCGGGACGTCATTATGAGCGGATAGGCCTCCTGATGTCCCTTTGAAACCTTGAGCTATGTACCTTGATGTTCTCATCACAAACCTTTAAATTTGGCAGTTTCCAAAGTTACTGACAGAACACCGGACTTAAAACGAAAAACAAGTGTTGCGATACACCGAACTTGTTTCGTTATATGGTGCAGCACTCTCCCACTTTCGCCGGAGGCAGGTTTCCGTCGGCAAACTTTTGTTGGTTCCTTCTTATCTTCACGCGATCGTCCCGGGATTTATGTTTGTCATTCACAAACGAGTCAAAAGATGTAAAGATAGAGAGAGTGGAGTTATAACACTCCAGGTAACCAACCTCAGAGGTATTTTCAAGGGAATTCAAATCCTGCTAGGGCTAAAATCCAGGTTTGCAAGTTTCTCAATAAACTTTCTTGAAGAAATGGCGTATGCAGAGCCACAATCGCGTCAAAATCCATGCGATTAGAAGGAAGAGACGATGGCAAACGATGCCAAAATCTTGAACTAAGTAAATGGGTTACGCTATCGATTAACGATTAACGTTAGTCTGTCACTCATTCACTGACCATCGTCAGTGAATGAGCGACAGACTAACGCTGAAGCTAGCCATGTTCCGGGCAAGATAGAAATTGAAATTGAATCTTGATACACGAATAGCTGAGTGTTGACTTCAGAAACTACCTGGTTATGGTGGTACGTCTCCTGAGGTGATTTTATTTGGGGAGGGGGGAAAATTGTTTTCAATAAATTTTTCGCTTCTGTGAAACGGAGACATAAAAAGCTGAAACTTTTTTTTAAAATGAAAGTTCCTATTGAGATGCTGATTTCAGGAAAAATCTTTTGTGAATAATTTGTGTGAGAACCTTTGCAATAGATTTTCAGACAGTGATAAATGCATGCAGTTGAAAATCTTTGATCCCAGAATTTACCTTTCAACTGAGAAGGAATTTTTGCAATTTGGGAGTGTTGAGTTTGCACAAATTGCTGAGAGGCATGACAGACTTTTGGATGGTAAGAAGTTGCACTCTGTAATTGTGATATTCCGTCAACTTTTTTTTATGACAATGGATATCCAAATTTGTGAATCCTTGCCAGGATCATTGCTTCCCTTCCGAGTGGAAGCATTGACTGTGAGAGAGGTTTCTCCCAAATGAAATCGGTTAAAACAGTTCAGAGGAATATTCTGACGTCTGAACACCTGGGTGCGCTCTCATGAGGATAAAAATTAATCTACCGACTCAGCTGGAAGCCTCCGTGTTTGATGAAACCATGAGAGAGTGGCTTAAGTGGCTTAAGAAGAAACATAGCTACCATGGTTGAACTTTGTCAATTTCAGTGTTGTGATGCTTGGAATAAGACATACTGAAATTCTCTTTCATGCATTGCCATTGCTCTGATTTAATGACTCGCTAAATTTTGCACATCATTGAGCATTACTTTCAAATCTGCAACACACCAAGTTTGCTGGAAGAAAACGACAAATGAAAAACATAATTTTGTATGTCAAACGAGAACCTATGACATGGCATCTGCCACCGTTGCCACTTTTGGCAACAGGCTGAGGAAAAATTTTGGAAGCACTGCCCCCTTACCAGAGTACCTTACGCAGGTATTTCCTATGATAGACTACAGTTTATAACTCTATGCGACACTCGGATCGAATCCCATTCATTAACAGGGTCGCAATGTAGATGTCGCTGTCAATCCTCCACCTTGCGTGTCCGTATCAAGACTGCTCCTTATCCAAGCAGCGGAATCCACGAGACACGCGTATTACCTTCGAGAATCTCTTTGGGT